CCTATTCCTTTTGTTTCCTTTCCTACCCTAAACTATATGAAGTCCAACTACAAAAATGTCATGCCACTTTATTCTTTCCCTTCCCAAGTACTGTTCAGATAGTTTCTGGTGAGCGCTGCTTTTAAGTCTATGATGTCAGCTACTTCTGTGACAGCTGATAGTATCCAAAAACCCTGTCATCCTGTGTATCTGCTACCCCTTCTGTCTTTACTATAGCTCTGTAATATTACAGAGCAACTTTCCAGATAAATGCAAAGACCCTAGTGTGGATAGACTTTGGGCTAATGGATAAGATGGGAGAATCTTATACTACTAATGTTGGTATTTTGTATTATCTCATGACTTAAAGACACCATCACAAACACTCCCATAAGGTTGTCACCACCAAAATTTAGCTGCACAGGCTTTTAATGAGTGACAGTAAAGGGTGAAACTTCCAGAAAGAGAATAAGTGAGAAGCTCTCAGTGCCCTTTTCTATTATGTGCCCCAAGGACTAGGCCTGGGTAAAATAGGCAATAAATAGTGTATCTATGAAGATGTTATTTTTAGGCCACTAATGCAGTATATCTCAGTGTGTATGTGTTATACACACAGATACTGTATCCTTTTCTTATTGGTCTCCTGAATTGAGTACCACATTATATTGTGTCCTCTATGGTAAAATGTATGTGGTATGTGGCAATGTCTTCTCACATATTCATTCTAGTTGGGTAAAATTATAAGACTAAAATGTATATAGCTAATGTTTCAGCTGTGACATGGCTCCTAAGAGCTAGCTGCTTCTAATCTAGCCTTAGTGTATCAATTAACAAAGTAGAGACTGAAGCAAAATCTTGTCCACAAGCCATTTTAAATATCCGCTTAGCTCTGGGTAGTTAATGAGTGGTTTAACCCCACTTCTACAACCGTTTTTGCTTAACATGCTTTGAGAGGCTCAGTCCTCTACAGGATGTTTTTGTATTAGTATCATTCTCAGCCCAGAGGTGTAAAGGACAAGAAAATGAGATTGTGGCTTCCTTTAAAGAACTTTGCTGTTAGCCACAGCCTGTCATACACAGAAGCAGTGTTTCAGTATTCCAACACAGGTTGCTATAAGCAGTCCTTGTGTATGTTCTGGTGGTATCAACTGGAAAACCTCTGATGAGAAAGGGCCTCTCACTCTGGCTGTTAAATGTATGTTAGCTGTTGCTGTGCTTGTCTGTGAACAGGGAAGCCTAGGACACATTTGCAAATGCCAGATTGTTAAGATAGACCCAATGCACCTGGTTGACAGGATTGCTTTTCTTTAAATGAACTTCATTTCCTATGTGTATTATTCTCCTTTCCCTCTCTGGGAATGAACTGCATTTGAAATAAGCTTGTACCTACTGCATTTATTTTCCCAAAGCTAGTGTGGTAGGTTGTTTGATCTGAAAAAGAGGAAAATCAGAATTTTGCAGGTGAAAACTGGAGGAAAATGGGTACAAAACCTCCAAAGATGGCTGTTTCCAGCAGCTTTCTAGCTAATGACCTCTATGCTGCCTCTAGTGTCCATCTGTATTCTACTTCTGAACTGAACCTTCAGATTGTAAGCCTTTTTTGGCGAGTTTGTGTTTTGTTTTGTTTTTAAGCTCTTCTGATACTTTTCTATGAATGGCTGTGCACCACTGATGCTGCTGAACCCTTTTATCACAAAAGCAAGTGTGTAGATTAAGGCCACTATTGGTGAGGAAACCAAGTGTCCCCTGTGCCTTCTTTCTTTCTGTGAACTAATTAAAGACATCCAGAAAAAGGAACTCTGGAGACTCCCATCCTGTCCAACAAGACACCGAATATATGCATTTGCAGAGGTAAAGGGGTATCTTGTCTGGAACTCAGCAGCAGCTGTAAATCTGTCAAGACTTCCTGACATACCTAGTTTTATGTGATGACTTTGCTGGAGTACGAAAGGAAAGTGAAGACTTCAGTTAGCTCTGGTATTGCTCATAACTTACCAAGAGGCTAATACTAAACTTGGAAAATTATTTAGGGTTCAAGCACTTGTTTTTTTGTTGAATATGGCTGTCCATGGGTATGTGAAAATTGAAGGGAAATCGAGAAGTAGTCTAATGGTGTAAGTGAAGGTGCCAGTTTCTGTTCAGTACCACACTCTACAAAAGTTCCATTACCTTGTGTGTGTTTTTGTTTTTGTTTTTGTTTTTGTTTTTTTGTTCTTTTGGTTGTTTTTGTTTGATTCTGGTTGCTGAGCAGCCATTGGGCAAAGCCTAAGACTACTGGGTACCTTTACAAGCCAGGCTGATGCTGCACCATTGTCATGTGAGCAAACAGTGCACATGTTCTAACTGCTAAACTGGTAAAGAATCTAGTGACAGAAAATGAAGAACAAAAGAACAAAAAGGTTGACAGAAATCAAACTCGATCAACATAACTATATTTGAAACATTCCAGGAAGGTTACTTCTTGTCAAACTTGCCTGGGGGTGTTTGTTCAAAACTTGTATTTAATAAATGAGCGTCTGACTTACCACCTTTGTTATCCCTTTATTACAGTATTAAAAGCCAGTGGCAGCCTGGTGTGGTGGTGTATGCCTGTAATCCCAGCTGCTGACTGATAGGAGGAATGAATGGAGAGCAAGGCCTGCCAGGGTTACCTAGTGAATTCAAGGCCAGACCAACATATTTTTTTTTTCTTTTGGTTTTTCTAGACAGGGTTTCTCTGTGTAGCACTGGGTGTCCTGGAACTTGCTCTGTAATCCAGGCTGGTCTCGAACTCACAGAGATCTATCTGCCTGCAGTGTTCCACTACTGCCTGGCTTAAACTAAAATTTAAAGGGAAGGTAGCTCAATGGTAGGAGAGCTTACCAAGCATACACATACCAAATTCAATCCCAGTATCACCACCACAGAAGGAAAAAAAAAAGTGACATTTCAAAAGCCTCTCTGAAAACCTTTAAGCAAGGTATTAGCATATGTGTATAACCTGGCTGGCCTAACCTGCCTCACCACAGACCTCTAGAGGGACCCAGGGACTATCCTCACTGTCTCAAGGATTTTTTTTCCCTAATTTTCTCTCTTCTGGCTTCACTTTATCCAGCCTAAACACCAGGCCCTTTAATAATTTGCTACCATGTCCTCATCCCCCGTTTCTATGCCTGTGACATGCAGGATCTCAGCCTAGGTTGTTTAGCAATTACTCTGCTCTGATATCTAAACTACAGGCAACTGTTAGATGAAAATAATGAAGTCTTTAGAGTACTTCAACCACACACTTGTGGGTTCTACCTGCACAGCAACTCTGCTCTGTGTACTTAATTAAGATATACTGAAATTTAGTCTCTCACCAACATTCCTTCTCTTTCCCTCTACCTTTCACACTCAGGTGGCATCCACCAGCTCCTCACTGGAAAATTTTTCTCCCATCACCCCACTGGAGGAAAGGGTTCCACCATTCCCAAACTGATTCCCATCTTCATTGCTGTCTTGCAGTTCTTGACAATTCCCCTTCTCTAACTTCAGTTTTTCCTAAGTTCCACATTCCCCTTGGAGTTGTCTGACTCATTTTCTTCCATATGCAATCTGGCTCCTAAGATTCTGAAACTGTTTCTAGTTAATGTCACAGATGTTCATACTGATAATTAGCTTGCCTTTCTTTCCCCCAAAATATATGGTCTTACCCTGTAGTCCAGACTGGCCTGAAACTCCCAATCCTCAGGCTCTTCTATGCTGGGTAACATGGGTTTCACCACCCAGGTTATCTTTCCTGCCTTAATTTGGCACCAATATCTAAGGCAGTTTGTCTCTCCTTCATTGAAATGCTCTTGACTCCTTAATCCCACCTCTAATTTTTCTTTCTACCTAATCATCCCATCAGTTTTAATTCTAACACTTAGACCTCTCCAGAACTTCTATTCTCATAAAATGTCACTTTCCTACATCGTTGTTTATTTTTGTTGTTTGTTTGTTTGTTTCTATTATGTCCAAGTTCCAACCCTTTAGAATTTGTATTTTTTTATTACACATCAAGGATCTCTAGGTCTACCCGGATCAGCACTATGCCTAATCTAATGCACCTCTCTGTGTTTATCTTACAACTCTGATACTCCTTATATGATGACCATTTAGGAATCTAAGGGGACAATACCCAAAGCGTTCACTGAATTCCAAAACCCTGACATAGTGTAATCCCTCAATACATGTGACTTTTTTCCTCCTGACCTCATAGCTCCATGTGGCTTGTTTAGAAAACCGGGATTGGGCCGGGCGTTGGTGGCACAGGCCTTTAATCCCAGCAGAGGCAGAGGCCGGTGGATCTCTGTGAGTGCGAGACCAGCCTGGTCTACAAGAGCTAGTTCCAGAACAGCCTCCAAAGCCGCAGAGAAACCCTGCCTCGAAAAAACAATAGAGAAAAAGAAAATAAAACCGGGATTGGATTCCAATTCTGATATTGGCTGCGGCGGAAAATGGAATTATAAAAGGTCAATTAAAGAAGTAGTTGATTGGGTGAGTCAGTTTGGTGACTTGGATTATGTGACGCCTACATGGCCCCTTAAAGCTCCTATTTGGCCTTGGCCCTGCCGCGTCTCTAAAACAAACACATCGGCCCACAAGCATCTCATGACGCCCTCCAGCCTCGACTTCCACGTTCTCTTGAAAAAAAAAAAAAAATACGAAACTGCCGCAAGCCAAAGTGGAGATCAAGCTAAGAAAATCAACGACGCATGCGCATTTCCTCACCTCAACAGTCTTCCGGGCCGCCATGAATGGCTGCCCCAAGCAATGCCTGTTTCCCGAGGAATTTTACTATTCTCCACATGTTCTCTCACCTCATCTTTTCATATCTACGCTTAATTAGTAATGAACAAAATAAACTGACCAGTTATGTTCCACAAACACAGAAGGGACACCTATATATTTTGAACAGGCATAGAGAGGGGCAGCCTGACCTTGGAAGTGGGGCAGGGGGCCTGCCACGGGTCCTTTCGAGGGTGACATTCAGCCGGCGGTGCGAGGAGACGGACCTTCCACCCTAGACCATGGCCAAGTTCGTCCGTAACTTCGCGGAGAAGGCCCCGGCGCTAGTAAGCGGTGAGCGGCGGCCCGGGGGAGGCGCGCGAGGGGAAGGAGTGTGCTGTGGGCACCCAGGGGCCCGCGGGCGTCGGGAGGGCCGCCGGGAGGCAGCTGCAAGGCTGCAGCCTCGCCCAGCTGCGCCCGGCCTCTTAGGGCGCCCAAGCTGCTGGGCCCTTAACCGCGACAGGCAAGAGGGTCGTGTGAAAAAGCCCGGCTTCACCCCGCCGCGAACGCCATGAGGCGCCCCCCCTCCTCCTTACCGTGCCGTGGAGAACTGGGAAGGGGAGGACGGAAACCAGGAAAAGGTCGCACACATCAGGCCTCATGAGGTGATCTGGATCTCAGCGTAGTCATCAGGAAATTTTGAAGACGGATAGCCTTCGAAAGTTGTGATTGCTTATCGTCTTGGTCAGATCCTAGAGAAGTCTGCGTCCGGCGAAGGGAAGTTGGAACGCAGGGATGAATATTCCCCCAGCCCAGTCCGCATAGAAAGCGATGCCTGTTAACAGTCGTCTTTATCAAGGGCTGCTTTGTTTGAAAAGGCTGGTAGACTGCTGTATCTCAGATGAACATGGAATAGTCACAAGTCTGCATAATATATCTTGTCGGCACAGTTCTTTTCTGAGTAACTGATTATTCATTGTATTTCTGAAGCTGGAGGTGAAAATAGCGAGCTTTAAAAACATGTAGTGCTTTTGAGCCTGTTTTGCTGTGTTTGGATGGTTAGTAATTCGTTTTCTCCTCCCCTTCATCACCGCCAAACAATAATGAGCTATTGAGGACCTTAGAGTGCCGTACGTAAATATTGGGGTCCCTCCTACAAAACACTAACTAGTCTTCTAGTGAGCCGTTTTCCACACTTCCCCAAAGAATTTCTTGTTTTCATCTTTAAACTTTACTAAGATCAGGCTATCTGTTGCAGACTGCTAAGGTTTTGTTTTTTAAGACTGGGTTTCTCTGTATACCACTGGGAGTCCTGGAACAGACTCTGTAGACCATGCTGGCCTCGAATTCAGATCTGCCTGACTCTTCCCCCCAAGTGCTGGGATTAAAGACATGCAACTGCTCAGCCCACACCCATCTCTTGTTCTAATAAGATCTTCCACTGTAAAACTGTTCTTTTCACTTTCTGCACCTGTTCTTATTTTTTGGAAGTTTCATACATTTATATAATGAATTTTAGTTCTTTTCCCATATGCATATCATTCCCCTTCCTTTCCTGAACCTCTTTTTCAGGAAGTCCACCTCCTGCCTTCACCCTACCCCCCAAGAATGTTATTTTACAATGACATAATGGTGGTGACCAGCCTGATGTCTTCTTTTGTATCTACGCCCATTCTTTAGAAGCAAGTAACCAGAGCAGGAGGATTTTCTGTTAGAGTGGTGGGTGGGTCCAACTTCTACATAGATCAAATGAAATTCTGTGAGAAAGATCTGTCTCGTCTCCATTTCTTTTTTTCATTTCCCCCCCATTTTTTTCAATTGTACATTGTACTGGCTCATTTAAATTTATTTCATGCATCTCATATCTAATTCTGTATCATTTATTGCTGAGATTGTGCCAACCTTGGCCATCTGTAAATCATTTAAGTGGTACCTCTGCCACCTTTAACGTGCCTCCTTATCTTTTTGGTTCTACGTGATGAATCATATTTTCATTTTCTCTGCCAAGCCTTAGAATTGGCCATTTCTCCAAGAAACCCTAGTTCCTTTTATTAAACAATGGAATTTATACATCACCGTATAGATAGTGGGTTTTTTCCTTGTTGCTAGAGTCCATTTTAAAGTTCTCAGTGGACAGTTTCATTTGATGTAATAAAACACCATGGCCAAAAGCAACTTGGGGGTGGGGGAAAGGGTTTATTTCATCTTTACAGTGTGAAATCCTTCATCCAGGGAAATCAGGGCAGGAACCTGGAGCCAGGAACTGGAACGGAGATTATGGAAGGGTGCTGTTTATCGCTTGCTCCCCATGGCTTGTTCAGCCTCCTTTTTTATAGCACTCAGGCCCACCAGCCCAGGGGTGGTACCCATCCTAAGTGAGCTGGGCCCTCTCAGATCAGTCACCAATCAAGAAAATGCACCACAGGCCAAACTAGTAGGGGCATTTTCTCAATTAAGGTTCTTTCTTACCAAATAACTCTAGCTTTGTGTCAAGTTGACACAAAACTAGCCAGCACAACAGGCTATTCAAACACATACTTAATATATTTGCATGTTAGTCTGTATAGATAAGTATTTGTTTCTGGGACTGGAGAGATGGCTCGGTGGTTAAGAGCACTTATTGCTCTTACAGTTTCTTTTTTCTTTTTGTTTGTTTTTGCTTTTTTGTATTTTTCCACACAGGGTTTCTTTGTATAGCCCTGGCTATCCTGGAACTCAAACTCTGTAGACCAGGCTGGCCTCAAAGTCAGAGATCCACCTGATTCAGACTCCCAAGTGCTGTGATTAAATGCTTGTACACACGCAAACACATACACACAGCTGCTTTCACAGTTTCTATGTGTTTCTCTCATTTAGTGTGTCTCTGGCTCTCTGTCCCACAATTTCAGTCCAGGACCTTGCATGTGCTCTACCACTGAGCTTCATCTTCAGACCCTGTGCTGATTTTGTCATTATTTCTCCTGCTGAATTCATTGATTTGAAATAGTAAATATGTCAAGAAATTTCAGATTAATAGCTGATTCTAGGGGTTTAGCTGGTTGGATGGTTGTGGTTTTTCAAGACAGGGTTTGTTTGTGTAGCCCTGGCTGTTCGGGAACTCACTTTGTAGACCAGGGCGGCCTTGAACTCAAAGCTCTGCCTGCCTCTTCCCCCAGAGTGCTGGGATCAAAGGTGTACACCACCACCACCACCCAGTTCGGTCTAGTTTCGATTGCTCTTACCAATACATGTAAGTTTTATTTGTATTATGAGTGCAATTTTTGAAAGGGGGTGCAGCTGTGTGTTAGTGAGAAAGAAAATCCAGCACATATTGCTAAGGATACTAGAAATGGTTACTAATTGGTATAATTTCATCTGGACTTGTGGCCAATATTGTGATGAGCCTCAATCTTACTGTTAAAATGATGCTATTCTACATAGCTTCTTCCCCTTCTGGACTCCTCTTCAAAATATGGTGTTTCTATGAAGAAAAATGAATAAATTACTTTATCTTTGTTTTCAGATTAGGGACTAGTAACTTTACAGTTAATTAGATTTGCCATTCAGAGGTGACTAAGTACTACTGGCCATTAGTGAGTCTGGCATAATTGACTGCTCAGAGCTTCCTGTCAGTTGAGTGTCCCTGTGTGACACAGGTGTCTGCATCTTTAAAAGCCTCATGTTACCAGGCAGCAGCAGCTCTGACTTCTCACACTGGCTGCACATTCGGTCCAAGCAGTGAGTGGATGTGATACATGAATAAATATTTGTGTCCAGCCCACACATCTGCTTCTTTTGATCACTATTGAGTTCATCCTGGGTTTTTTGTTTTGTTATGTTTTATTTTCCAGCTGCCGTGACTTACTCGAAGCCTCGATTGGCCACATTTTGGTACTACGCCAAGGTTGAACTGTTTCCCCCAACCCCTGCTGAAATCCCTGCAGCTATTCAGAGTGTGTAAAAAATAATTCAAAGTGCTAAAACTGGTAGCTTCAAACAGCTTACAGTTAAGGTAACTATGGGCTATGAAAAAGTATGTTTGTGATAAAAATGTCTTCCCTGGGGATTCTTCCAGTTCTTTTGATTAATATATGTATTTTCAAATGAGACAGAATCCAACATAATGAGAAATAATCTCTTTTTTTGGCTGCTAAGAAAAGACGTTTTCTTTTCTCATTTTGTAGTCTGTATAGAAATAATTCAGATATTCTTTGTCATGGTCTAGTTGTGGTCTTAGAGCAAAAAAGTGATCATCTTGAATAACTAGCAGCCTTGATTTCCTTCCTAATATTAGCTAGTATATTATAATCTAATGGCTGCCTTTGCTGTTTGTTTTGTTTGTGTCCTAGAATTATCCTCATTTCGGCTAAAGACCTCTGGAATTAGGCAGAACAAAGATACCAAAATCTGGGTTTTCAAATTGCATGTAGATTAAAGGCCACAAGAATTGGAACTTGACTTTTAAGTTCCAGTTCTAGTAACTGCTGGGGCTAAAGCCCTCACCTGGAGAGTAGGAGACAGAAGACTTCTAGTGGCCTCTGGTGTTACTGAATGGGAAATGACCTCCAGAAATGTTTTTGTTAATAGTAGTAAAGTCGTCCAGCTCATTTATGGAAAGTTATTTTTTCCAACTAGAGTTTCTAGATCCAAGTTTGCTTAAATGAAACCATGCTTCCTAGAACCATGTGTGGTTTGGGTTTTTCCCCCTTTGGGGGTGGGAGGGTCAGAAATAAAATGAATATTGAATACTTGGAAAGAATTTAACCAAATCATAGTAAATAAAAATGAAATAAATGGGATATAAAAGGGAAGAAGACAGAGCTCTTCATCTTTGATGGACAAGCCTTCCTATGAATGCCCTGTCTAATGTATAAGCCACTTCCAGGATGTGGGTTGTTTTAGGGCCCATAAGGTGTCTCATAAACTAATAATGAAAGGGTTAAGTCAGTTCAGGTCTTATAAGAACATGGTTGGAAGCCTGGCGGTGGTGGTGGTGGACACCTTTAGTCCCAACACTCGGAAGGCAGAAGCAGGCAGATCTCTGTGAATTCGAGACTATCCTGTTCTACAAGATCTACTTCCAGGACAGCCTTGAAAGCCAGAGACAAACCCTGTCTCCAAAAAAAAAAAAAAAAATGCTGAGAAAGATATTATAAGCTCAGGCCCATTTGCCTTACAAAATTGAAAGTTCAAGTCCTCAGAAGCTGAGCATTGAACATCGGTAATTCCTAACTTTGGCCAAAAACAGTTCTGTAGTTTTGAGTAGCATCCTTATATTCTCTGTTAATCCTGAGAGATAATAGTTTCAAATATGTGTTGGGTCTTTTGTTTTATAAAGTACCTTAAAATTTGTGCTCTTTCTTTTCCAGGAAGCTGTGCTAAATGGTTTGGTCGCCACTGAGGTGTGGATGTGGTTTTATATCGGAGAGATCATAGGCAAACGTGGCATCGTTGGCTATGATGTTTGAAGACTGATCTTTAACATCTGATTTTATTTGAGTTTTTATTTGAGTGTTCTTGGACCACATGTGATGAGACTGCTATCTTAATAAAATACTAGCTGTCCAGTAACAGTGTTTTTCTCTGTCAAATATTGCATAGATGGCCACAGTTTTTCCTGTAAGTAAGTTGTCTTTGGCCTTTGTTACATTGGTGCAGTTTTAACCTGAAATTAGAAAAGATGGGTGTGAATATGTATATTCACATGGTATATAATACATGATGATAGAATTTTAGTTCAAAGGTTTAAAACATTAGCCAATCATAGTAGCCCACCACACACATACACACACACACACACACACACACACACACACACAGAGTTTCTCTGTGGCTTTGGGGGCTGTCCTGGAACTCGATCTGTAGACCAGGCTGGCCTCGAACTCACAGACGTCCGCCTGCCTCTGCGTCCCGAGTGCTGGGATTAAAGGTGAGCACCACCAACGCCCAGCTAATAGCCCACATTTTTAGGCCAAGCAGTTGGGAGGTAGAATTGGGAGATCACAACAGATTTGAAGACAAGTCTGTCTACATAGTTCCAGGCAGCCATGGTTATACAATGAAACTCTCTTTAAAGAGAGAGACACCAAAAATTTAAGCAGATGTAGTAGCATACGCCCAGCAACTGAAAAGACTAATGTAAAATCACTTAAGGAATTCAAAACCAGCATGAACATATAATATAATGAGACTTTGTCTCAAAAGGAGATACAGAGGGGCAGGAGTTGTTTATTTTTTGGTTTTTGTTTTTTTCAAGACAGGGTTTCTCTGTTGCTTTGGAGGCTATCCTGGAACTAGCTCTTGTAGACCAGGCTGACCTCCAACTCACAGAGATCCGCCTGCCTCTGCCTCCCAAGTGCTGGGATTAAAGGTGTTCTCCACCACCACCTGGTGGGGCAGGAGTTTAAGGTCATCTCGGGCTACATGAGACCTCATCTAACAGTAACTACAAAAAAGAAATTTGGATTATTTTTCTCAACAATTCTGTAAAAATGGTGGTGGTGCTTGTCGATGTGAATATTTGCCTCAAGGAAGAGTAGTAGGGGGAAGTATCTTTAGATGTATGTTTTAATATCTTGACAGTAGAGCAAGGTGAAAGCCATGTAACTGGGATGATCGGGTAAGGTGACACACTCCTCTTATCCCAGCACTGTGAGGCAGAAACAGGCAGATCTTTTGAGTTCAAAGCTGTCCTAGTCTACATACCAAGTTCCAGAACAGCCAGGACTATATAGACAGACCCTGTCCCTCTCTTTTAAAAAAAAAAAAA